AGACCCCTGAATTCATTCCCTGTTGCCATGTGTTTTCCCATCACCTTTTGTCATGTGTTTTCCCACCTCCTGTCACAGGCACCCGATTCCACCCCCTGTTGTTCATTGTCCCCTAATTGTCCCCTGCCATTTGATTAGCAACTGTATGCTATCAGAACCCCAACTCCACCACCCGTCTGGTCACCAGACCCCGATTTCATCACCTGTTGTTCATTGCCCCCCTTACCTCCGGTCACTTGATTAGCAACTGTATGTTAATTTACCTCTATTCACCTCTGTATTTACATACAGGCCCCCCCCTACCCTCTGACTTACCCTATAAATGTGTGACTCTGCAGATGTTCAGGGTTGGTCCACGTTCACAGACTCATGCTCTGTGTTGGTGAGCCCACCGTATACCGGAATACTAATAAACACCCACTACAGCAAACTTCACATGAGGACTATGAGTAAAATTTCTTCAACATAGCTTTAGACTGTGATTTTATGAACAGAATGCTGAAGCACATAAATAATAAATACATGTTATATGGATACAGTGATTTCTGTGATACAACATTTAAGATGTACTTGAGACTGTTACCTTATATTTGCCTTACATTAGATATTGGAATCTGTTATATGGTGCAGTAGCATAAACATATTGTCTATTTAAACATAATAATACATTGTAACATTGCTTCCAATGAGATGATGATAAAAAATGATGGTAAACATTACAATCAATATCTCGTCTTTCTGTTGTAGTTTCTAACTCTGACCACTGGAGGGCATCGAACCTTCATTACAACTGTCTACAGGTGTGAACAAAAAACAATGAGGCTGCTGAAGTCAAAATATTAAGAGACAGTGGTGTTTCCTGCACCTCTACTTGTGGCATTACATGACAATGTACTCATTGTTTATGATGCAGAAAGATACGATGGACATTGACATTATTTATATGATATATTACGTTCCTCTCCCTTGTTACTGCTATAAACAGCAAGTATTGTTATTATTTATATGATCCAGTAAATGTTGTAGAAAATATGTTTTTTAAATAATGACAAAACCATCAGTTCCATCACAATGTATTCAATGACACAAGATAACAAGATAAAGATGTTTCATCAGTAACCATCATTTTACCTGATTTGCTCAAAGTGTTGACATCATCGATCACACAAACAATTTTGAAAAGCAATACAGCCATGATTCAGCAGTTTTCTACATTTAACACAGTTTATATATGAATAGGAAGATCACATTTCTCCCCTTGATAAAATGATAAAGAGAAACTTAAATGTCTTATACTGAGAACAGTAACTCTGTTGTTTCTGTACCTATAAGAGTAAATGAGTCCTGCACTGAGGACGTCTGACAGATCAACTGTAAATGAATGTTGGTTAAAATGTGCAGCAAGGATATGATTCAGATGTTGTATTTATCTATTTACAATCTAATGTTGTCTCCTCTACAGAAATCAAGAAGTCAGAAGCCCTTTAGCATTCACTTTACAATATCACACTGATGTCTCCAAACCCAGAGACTTTTCAAACACCCTCTGTGCATCCTCAGCAACTGTGTTAAGAAAATAACTCAGAGTTTTGTAGGTTGCAGTAAAAGAGAGGGCCATTGCTATTGAGATTCCCAACAATGGAATGAATCTGCACACTTCTTCTGCTGCCATTAAAACACCTGTGACTGTCATTTGGGCTATCACCTTCAGGAGGAGATCGACATTTATTTCTTTTAAAGCCAGTGGTGATTTGATGACAGCAACCAGATTCTCATATGGCACACCTGCGCTGACAGCAAGTCTCTGCAGTGACGATTTATTAAGTCCAAACCCAAGTACATATTGACTGACAACAGTAACCATCATGCCTAGATCAACAGCAGCAGAGAGTACAGGAACTGGCACACCTGCCACGGCTGCAGACAGAACAGACAGATATTTTATTTTGGCTTGAAAAGCTTCTTTCTTCTTGTTGATGATCTCACGGTTGATGTTGGGCATGGCAAACAGTAGAGCATCCCTCTTGTGTGCAGGAAGTTCTCTCTCTAAGGTCTCATGGAGGAGAGAGAA